GACTGATAGAAGCCAAGACAGGAAGCGGTTGTGGAAGTGAAGGAAAAGTGCATTGAGGGAAAAGTTGGCTTTGGAAGTTGCCAAGCAAGTGAGCGTTGCAGGCACAGGGAGACAATAGAGGGTGTCGACTGCTTCCGATTCTTTTTCTTCTTCCTGCATGTGTGATGTCAATGCACCTCCCTCCTCTTTCGACTATTTGGTGACACCGACTACCAGACGGACTGATTGGCAGGTTGGCCGAATATGCGAAATGGTGTTTGGGGTGTGTCGCACTGTCGGGTGAATGAGTACACCGATAGTTACTTCAAGACGACCCACTCACTACTCATTCCACGCCTCTGAGATGCGTGGTGGGTTGCAGACGCGAGTATTTGCTGTGAACGGTTTACTTGTTTAAGGCCACATAATTCTGTCTGCAATTCATCCATTAGGTATGATGCGATGCCATGCATGCAAAGGTGTGAAGCCAAGTCTCTTCCTGAGAAACAGTCACGTCTAATGAATCGGTTGGAAGAATGTCGCATTCTCACAACCCAGTACACAACGTAATCCTTGGAGGAATTGAACATTGGAATGTGAGCGAAGAAGATACGGACTCATCCTTATTCCCAACCTCCGAATTGCCCTGATACTCCTTCCCCGAGTGATGTGCATCACTTTTCTTGGCATCAACATCTGGCAGTCACTTGACCACATAGGATGTAGGGTAGACATCCAGTTGAGAGGTAAATGGGAGACTAAGTAGGGGACTGTTGAGTCTACGTCTGATTGTCTGCTCTGGGCGGCAAGGCCTTTGGTGAAAGTGGGATTTGCAGCAAGGTTATGTGCCGCCCGGAAGTATTGGTAGACTATCTCTACAAGCATCACGTTTTAAGGTGCTTTCTGTGGTCATTTTATTTTTTGCAAGAACCACATCACATGTACGTCGGTGACTTTACGACCTCGACACCAACCAAACTTTAGCCTAATCACACCTTGTTTCCTTTTAGCTTTCCACATCCCCTCTGCTTCATGAACACACTCAATGTAATGTTCAAATGTGACTTGGGTGCTACTTATCTCCACATCCACACCTTCAGAAAAATACTCCTACTTACATAATATGTGTACAATTAGTGTGAAATAAAGTAAATACGATTTTCGGATAGGATTTGATTCGGTCCCCCTCCAGGCAATTTCGCTCGGTCAATCAAAGCTGCAAAGGAGGTGGACGAAAAATAAAAACCACTAACTCCTTTCCACAAACGCACAACACTGAGGAGTAGGAAAGTGGAACTCCGATTCGTTGTTAGATCGAAAGCATTCAGCTTCCATTGGAACAGGCACAAGTGAGCAAAAGGTGGAGAATTGGTAGCCCTTCTCATATCAAAACAATTGATAATAACCCAGACAGGCAAATAAGCAGCAATAAAAGAGCAAACAAATGTTCTTTCTTTCCAACAAACATTCTTGCAAAGTGTAATTAGTCCCCCCCTTCGCAAATTCGACGCTGGGATTTAATTTACAAAGTAGCTTTCCAGAAGCATCGAGATACGTCATCAGTGCTATCTTCGTATTGTAAAGCGAAGTGGTCACAGGAACACTTTGCTCACCTCTGGGCTTTGGTAGCTGGCCACTTCGGGACTCTGCCATTGTGCCTTTGCCAAGCGGCCTGACCTCCGGGCCACGCCATTAGTTCCAAGCCCTACTGTATGTCAGCAACACATATTTTGTCCCAATATTGTGCATTCTTACGTCTTCAGGGGAGTTTCGGGTCACTGTCACCGCAATATCTGGATTCTGTATTTCATACTATTGTGGCACTTTACGCCTTCCCTGGCAATGAACTCGAATGGAAGAAGGCTTATTAGTGGCATTCAGAAGAGTTGGTGGAATGTTTGCGCAATAGATGGTGTCGTTTATTTTGCTGCTTGTGGATTGTTTGTTTGATTGACAATTAATCATTTATGTCGAATTTGATTTTTGACATTTCTGCTCTGGGCAGATCAGTTTATAAACATTTTACTAAAAATACTACCCCTTACCTCAAATGAAATCTACAGGGAAAAGCTAGCGAATATACACCAACCAGCGGTGATTGAGGCATGCATTAACTTGTCTCAATGATTTAATGCGCCCCATTTCGAATGAAATGGTGTTTAGGTTAGTGTTAACCACTCTTTTACTAGAATATTTAGCACTGAGGGAGAAGCTTAAAAGAGGAAAGAGAATGTAAAATACAGTAGTTGTTTGTTTAGTTATCGGTTTCATTGCAAGGGCTACTACGGCGCTCCGCTATTGTACCTTAGTACGATGCGCTGGCCTCCATGCCATATCAGTAGCCCCAAGTCCTGCTGAAAGTCTAGATCCTCTTCAGTTTTACTGAGCTTATGTGTACTCCCTTCCAAACTTTTCGCTTAGATATAGAACATTTTAATGAACATTTTGTAACTATGAGAGGG